GGTCAGTGAAATCACTTACTACAAACGCCTAATCCACCGGGTGGCTGGACACGCGCATGGGGCCTGCAGGAGCCAATCACAAACCAGAACCCACAGGAGCCTTGGGGGCTCAGACTTAGCCTGAGGAATAAAACCACAGAAGAGAGGTGACCATCTTCACCCAGCCACACACCCCAGGTCCCCACGGGAGCTGCCACCGAACTCTGACATCCACCATGATGCTCAAAAGGCACTTTTTTTTTTTTTTTTTTGGAAACGGAGTCTCACTCTGTGGCCCAGGCTGGAGTGCAGTGGTACGATATCTGCTCACTGCAAGCTCCGCCTCCCGGGTTCACACCATTCTCCTGCCTCAGCCTCCCGAATAGCTGGGATTACAGGCGCCCACCACCATGCCCAGCTAATTTTTTGTATTTTTAGTAGAGACAGGGTTTCACCGTGTTAGTCAGGATGGTCTCCATCTCCTGACCTCGTGATCCGCACGCCTCCACCCCCCAGAGTGCTGGGATTACAGGCGTGAGCCACCACACCCAACCTCAAAAGGCACTTTTTAAGCAGCTCAAACTGTGCAGAAAAGTGTTCTCTACTTTAAAAAAAAAAAAAAAAGTCCACTTCCAGCAAATACATATGAAAGCGTGACTCCGCAGGGCAAGCAGCAGAAAGGATTCGCTCTAGAATTCTCCTAAGCAGTGAGTCCAGTCTCTATCCTCCAGGCCCTTCATCTCCACACCAACACTTCCAAAACACTCGCTTGTCACCATGTGTGCCAGATTAGGAGTTAGAGCGTGAGGGCCGGTCCGCAGGGTCAGTATCTATCCACATCATTTCACTGACTAGTGCTTTAATGCCCCTCCTGTAAAACGGGATGACACTTGATCATTTCACCAGGTCGAAGGTACTATCAGATGGGATATGGGCACAAAAGCAATTGGAAAACTCCAGTTCAAAGAATCAGGGCCTAAGGAACGTGCTGGGTCATCAAACCTTTTCATTTAGAAAGAATAATTGTGGCAGATCCAGAGCTGGGCGCCACCCCCACTGCTCCTCACTTTCCCGGGCACTTCAGTCTTCATGAAGATGGCTTTCTTAAAGCAAAAAGCACTTCACACACATTAGGATGGCTATTCTTAAAAATAAAAATAATAATAATAATAATAATAATAAAAGAATAAGAAAACAAGTCTTGGCAAGAAAATAGAAACTTTGTGTGCCATTAGTGGGGATGTGAAATGATACAGATGCTATAGAAGAGAGTACAGCAGGCTTGGCACAGTGGCTCACACCTATAATCCCAGCACCTTGGGAGGCCAAGGCAGGTGGATCACCTAAGGTCAGGAGTTCAAGACCAGCCTGACCAACATGGTGAAACCCCATCTCTACTAAAAATACAAAAATTAGCCGGGTGTGATGGCAGTCACCTGTAATCCCAGCTACTCGGGAGGCTGAGGCAGGAGAATCACTTGAATCCAGGAGGCAGAGGTTGCAGTGAGCTGAGACCATGCCATTGTACTCCAGCCTGGGCAACAAGAGTGAAACTTGGTCTCAAAAAAATTTTTTTAAGTTAAAATTTTTTTAAAAAGACAGTATGGTTGTTCTTTGAGATATGAAAAATAGAATTACATATGGTCCAACAATTTCACTTCTAGGTATATCCCTAAAAGCACTGAAAACAGAGACCCGAACAGATCACTGCACACCTGTGTTCCTAGCAACATTATTCACAATGGCCAAAAGGTAGAAGCTACCCGAGTGTCCACAGACACTTGTATTTTTAGTAGAGACGGGGTTAAACAAAATGCAATATAAATATACAATGCAATAGTATTCAGCCTTAAAAAGAAAATTCTGACATATGCTATAACATGGATGAGCCTCGAAGAAAGTAGGCTAAAGAAATGAGCCAGGCACAAAAGGACAAATACTGTATGATCCACTTCTATCAGATACCCAGAGTAGCCAAATTCATAGAGACAGAAAGTAGAACAGTGGTTGACCGGGGCTGGGAGGAATCGCGGAATGGGGAGTTTGTGTTTAATGGGTACAGAGTTTTAGTTTGGGAAGAAAAACTTTCTGGAAATAGGTGGTGATGGTTGCAGAACAATGTAAATGTACCAAATACCATAGAACTGTGTACGTTAAAGTGGTTAAGATGGTAACTTTTATGTCGTGTATATTTTATCATAATAAAAATGGTGGGCCAGGTGCAGTGGCTCATGCCTATAATCCCAGCACTTTGGGAGGCTGAGGCCAGTGGATTGCTGGAGCTCAGGAGTTCAAGACCAGCCTAGGAGACATGGCAAAACCTCATATCTACAAAAAATACAAAAATTAGCTGGGCATGGTGGTGGATGTATGTAGTCCCAGCTACTCAGGAGGCTGAAGTGGGAGGATGGCTTAAACCCGGGAGACGGAGGTTGCAGTGAGCTGAGATCATACCACTGCACTCCAGTCTGGGCAACATAGCAAGACCCTATCTCAAAAAAAAAGAGAGAGAAAAGTAAAAATGGTTTAAAAGTTTTCAAGTAGTTAAGTGAAGAAGGCATAACTGCAGAAACCATCATTGTCACTTAAAGCTCAGTAAAGGTTTTTCTCACGTAGTGAAATTGTCCCCAAAGACCAGCACCTCAGACACCTTCCTTTCACTTTGTAAAGCGCAATAGAACCCCCGCTTCCACACAGGCTGCTAAATCTTCAAGTCAGCTTCCGATGGGCCCCTAAGACCACCAGAGCCCACATGCTGAAGAACCAAAGAGGTTGCACCAGTGCCTACAAAAGCATCCAGCAGGCACTCAATATTTGTAGAATTAAGGTAAGAGGAAGTCCATAGGTAAACGATTTGAAATACATCTATCATTAGAGAAGGAATACTCCATGGCTAGCTCAAAAAGCATGCCCTGAAATCCCAACTCAACCATCAGAAGGCACGGCTGGGCGGCAGGCATGGTCTTTCCTGGCCTGTCCTACTGGGACTTCCCAGTCCAGTAAACAACAAAAGAAAAGTAAATTGCTAAAGTGAAATGACCACTTTTGAAGCAAACGAGGTAAGTCTGTAAATCATTAAAATTGGACTCTAACAATCGGCATCTTCCAAACCATGGGGGAGCCTCACAGACCCGGGAGTCGGAAGGTCTGGTTGATTTCTGGAGCTCCAGAACTGCAGTCCCTTGATCATACCCCTAAATGAAGCCACATCTGTTTAATCACATACAAAGGCACCTGGCTTCCAGACGTCCATGCAAAAACCTGTACCAACAAACCAAATATGGGAGGAGGTGATGATGATTCACATTACAAAAAGAATTCTTGGGCAGAAACTTGCCACTTCAGCATTCTTCTAGGTTGCACGATTCCTTCGGGCCTTTTGGATATCATGTGACCAACCAAGATTGGTTTTGTATAAACGTTTTTCCAGGCACAGACCTCGTCGGCGAAGCAGGAACACCCAGCTGACTTTGAACAGGGGGTCTTTCGCCAATGGCATAGTTGAAAAGAATTCATCCAGGATCATTCCTGTCCTCTTGTGAAGTGGGCTGGGTGCATTGATCACGTGAACAGGGGATGCTAACTTGGTGTGGAGCACCCCAACCAGCTCCATGATGACAGTGACATCGTCTAGAACAATGGTGGCCACAGACAGAGGCGGCAGTGGTCTGTGTGGGTACACAAACAAATGTGCCAGGATGCTGCCTGGTCAGGTACACATTCCAAGCTCCCAAAGACCTTGCCTACCTGAGAGGAGAAAATGCCCAGAGCTGTAGTTCCTTTATCATTCACCCAAATGCAGCCACTCCTGTCTTAACCAAGTATAAAGGGCATCTGATTTCAAGGCTCCTATGTAAAAACCTGTACCAGCAAACCAAATAAGTACATGCGGGGGCCCAGACCAGTGGAGGTAAACCAGAAAGGCTTCCTGGAGGAGGAGGAGGAGAAAGAAGAAAACACTGTAGTTGGGTAAGCTTCAGTGGGAAAAGGTTCAATTAAGGCTTTATCTGGCCAAGAAGTCAGTCAGCTTCCTGTTTCTTAAAGTGTCTGTGTCAGAATGGCCTGGGTGGCACTAAGGTGCACTAAAGGTGAGGGGCCAGACAGGGGTGGGTGCTAAGAATATTCATTTTTAACACGTTCCTCAAGCAATTCATTCTTATGCAAACCACAATTTGAACACCAGGGGACAGGTGGGGCAATCTCAACGTGAACAGTCTGCACTGCACTGGAGTAGATTCTAGAAAAGCTGCAGCGTCTGACTAGGGAGGACCCACCAGGAGATGCTGAGGACAGGGACAGGCAGGTGTAGACAGAGGTGCCTTCCAGAACTGTTTAGTCACAACACCCGCAACCCCTCTCCCCGCGAGACTTCCTGTTATGATCCTCATTGGAGCTGGCTAGTTACAGAAAATGTCTGTACCAGTTCACAAGGAGAGAGAAAGACGTGGATATCCTTCAGTTTACAAGCTACGGTAGGAAGGCTGGGAGTATTTCAAAAAGGAAAAGAAAAATCAAGTCTCGGCAACCAGATCCTAACATCAACACAGAAACTCTGTCTAGAAAACAGAAATCTGTTTTGTTGAGATTTAAGTAACATCAAAACTTCCTTATCCCAAACAAACATCGCCTTCGCTCAACGCAGGCAACCATTCCAAGTCAGAAAACACACAGCGATACTCAAAGCAGACAGCCTCAATTCACGCGTGCGTTACTGACTGACCACGCGGTCGCTTTATTGTAAGGACAGGAGAAGGGACCCTTTCCTGGGTTTCTTCAAATTCACACAAGTGGACTCTTACGCAAAGAACCTGGGCTAGCCTCCATCCATATCAGCCACCTCCAAAAATCCCTTCGGGCTAGCTCTCCTCACCCCAAATCTTCTCCTGGAAGAAAGTCCCCTAAAGAAAAGGAGAATCACTAACTAGCCCAAAATTGCCTAACAATACCCTAAATCTGTTCTGAGTTCATAGCAGAAATCCGTGTTCCTTCCAATCTGTTCAGATAACCAGGAAATGCTGTACCTGCTGGGTCTGCACGTTTAGCTCCCGACACACCTGCTACTGCAGCCGGCATGAGTCACCCACACAGGCATTGCACGGTGTACTTGTCAACCACGGATTCAGCGGCTCAGCAGCTTGCTCTCACGCACACCGGATGGCAACTGTCTACCCCCCAGAAGACGTGTCAGGGCAGACTGGGTAATAACCCAATTTCACTCAATGACACACACATTCCCGCTATAGGTTTGGGGAGAGGAAAGGAGGGAAGGGGTACACAGAGATGCTTTCCCCACTTACGGGCAGGCTCCCATAGGCCCTGGAAGCCTGACACAGCTCTGCTACCGTCAGTAGAGGAAGGGCAAATTCACTTGGGGAGGAAAATGGAAATGACGTCCCAGTTTCAAACCTCCTCCTGAACAAAGCCTGTCTTCTGTCCCACTCTAGGTTCCCGCTTTTTTACAAGGTCCCATTACAGGATCCCAAATTGGACCCTGGACCAGAAAAAGGACATGAGTGGGACAAATGGAGAAATCTGAATAAGGCCTGTAGATTAGTTAAAAGTGTGTGTCAATGTCAGTGTCCCAGGTCTGATCATTGCACCATGGATATATCAGACGTTAGCATTTGGGGAAGCGGGGTAAAGGATGTAGTGGAGACTTTGGCATTATTTTTGTAACTCCTGCAAATCTAGATTTATGTCAGAATCAAAAGTTAATTTTTTAAAAAAGACAGCATGTTAAATCTAGCTGCCTGATATATCTTACTTTATGGTATTGCTTGAAAAAAGGTACATCATAATCCCAACGGCAAATTTTAAGTTATTCTCATACCAATGCTGATCAATTATTTGATACAAAAAGAAACAAAACAAAACACTTCATTTGCTCGGTAGCCATTCACTCTGTGCGACTTCTGCGTCCCCGCTCCAAGATGCAGTATTATCTGATGGGTAAGTGGCGTCTTTTCCTCCAAGCCCATCTCAACAATGTCCAGAAATAGAGTTATTCCTTTGCTTTAGACATAACTCTAACTTAAAGCAAATATAGCAATTTCTGGGAATTTTCCAAAGAAAATAATACGATATGTGGACAAATCTTTATGTACAAAAAATGCTCACTGTATTACTTCTAAGGGTAAAAATTTGGAAACAACTTAGTGTCCAACAATAGGGAAATTGTCAAGCAAATTATGAGTCAATGCCTGCAGCAGAATACAGTTACCATGCCATCACGACATGGGGGAAATGTTCAAATAAGATTACACAAATAAAGAAGAGGAGAAAAAGTTGTATATTTTGTAGGATTTCACCAGTGAGGAAATAGATCAAATTGCCAGCATTACTGTGTGAATTAGATGTTTTTCCTGCTTTGGGCACTTTTGTGTAGTTTTCTATAAAAGAAAGAGAAAGAGCATGGATTACTTTTTAAAATCAGACAGAGGGGTGGTGGCGTTGATTATCAATTTGCCTGAAGGTTTCAACTTTTCCTCTCCCTGGTCAGTCTGAGCACAGAACTGGGGTGGGAGCAGAGGGTGGGGAAGGGCGGCAGGGAAGGTGCTGCGTCAACCTGGGCAGTTCCAGGACCTGCATGGGGCCAGGGGCACTGAGGGCCCCAGCTCCCGAGGTAGGAGGTCGTGCCACCATGCACTGCCTTTTCTTCTTCCAGTGCTGCTTCACCTTCTCTTGCTCCTGGAGCAGTGCTCACTGGAGACACTGGGACCCTGAGCGCTGACCAAGAGTGATCCCTGACAGCGTCTAGATTTCTAAGCAGAAGGGACTGGTGGGTGGGAAATGGATCACCGACAGGTTCTAAATGAGAACCTACAGGCTACAGGAGAGGGTTGAGGGGCGGAGGAGGGAATCCCACCTCTGGGAAAGCATCCTCAGGAAACCTGCATAGGCCCTGGAGGTGAGGCCAAGTACCAAGGAGGGAGAAGGAAAAGGAGGACCCTGGTTAATCTGCACGCCAAGGGCGGAGTCGCTCAGTCATTCATTCAACAAACATCTATTCAGTGCCCACTCGGTGACAGGCACCGCACTGCCCCCAAACAGGGCAGACACAAAAGAATAAGGGCAGGAGGAAGCTATGGATACAGACGCGGTGTGCTTTCAGTTCCGGACTCAAGACGTAAGCCCTCTCCCCACATTGGCCAACAAACCACTTCCACTAGCAAGTTGTGCCAGAAAGGGGAGGTGGCCAGTGGGCTCACTGGACTGAATTCCTGCCACCTCCCAGTTATTCAGAAAGCCCGTCCACACCCTGGCCAAACGCATCCCCGCGTCCGCCGCGTCCGCCTGACGGGTGGCCCAGTCCTCGCCCGAAAGCTGCTCGCCAAATGCCCCGCTCGCCCCCCAGCCCCAACGGTGAGAGGGGCTCGGCCGCGTCGCGTTCTCCAAGCGCTGCGCCCCAGCAGCGTCCCCGGTCGCCAGTGGGCGGACGCCAGAAGCTCATGGAGGCGGCACCGCTCCCGAAGTAACGGAGCCCGGAGAGTGCCCAGGCTTTAAGGCAAGTACAAGGGGCCGAGCGGGTTCGCCAAGGACGCGCGGGCGTCTCCCCCAGCTGAGGTTCGGTCCCTCCAGGCAGCCAGGGTCGGCAGCGCTAGAGGCAGAAGGACGACGGCCGAGAACGCCCAGGATGGGGTGGTCGCTGACCACCGTGTCCCAGGCAAATCAGCTCCGCTTGGAGGCAGGGGGATGACTAAAATGACCTCCAAGAAGATGTCAATTGCAAGAACAAAAATTTCAACCCAGAATCTCGGGACCTTCGGAAAACAACGCGGAGGAAAAAAAGAAAGAAAAGAAAGTAAATCAGATCCCTTCCCCGAACCGCAGGGAAACTTACCTCCAGCTTGGCGACCCAGCTGTTAAGTAGAACGAATCAATCCACGGACGGAGAGGAGGTCGTGGGTCTTCTGAGCCCAGCTGATACACACCAAGTAATCCACGTTAAGGGGTCCGCAGCCCCCCACCCAATTCCCCACTTTCCATCCAAGGCCAAAGCGCCTGGTCCAGATCCTGTCCTCTGCGCTCCAGACTCGCGGAGGTCGCGGGCGGGGGTCCCCAAGCGGCCGCATTCTCTTCCCCAGGGGTGGGCGCGCGACGCGGGCGGGGACTGGGCGCCCCGCGGACCCCGCGAGCGCATCCCGCCTCCTCGCGCTGGGACAGCACCCAGCCTGGACGCCGCTCCTCGCCTTTCTTCCCCGCGCCGCCAGCGCGAACCAAAGATCCCCGCCAGGAAAACCCCTCTGCCAAGCCGGAAAGCGCCGAAGGTGGATCGTCTCTCGGACTTTGGTTTGCAGGTTCACAAGGCCCGGGAGGCTTACGGTGGGCGCCTGCCTAGCATAGGGTCCTTGGGGAGAAGCGCAGAACAAGAAATGCCAGCCTCGGTGGCCGCGTCCTCAGGCTACCAGCGCCACACCGCGCACCCGCGCCAGCTGCGCGCTCTGTAGCCGGCCGGGCCATTCGGCTCTTATATACCAGGCGGACCCGCGACGGGGCGGGGCGGAGCGGAGTGGGTGGGGGGGGGGCGGGGGAGGCCGAACGGCTTCCTGGGAGTCGTAGTTCCGCTACGTAGTCCTGTCGTAGTCAGGACAAAAGTTAAACAAAAATGGAAACGGTTGGGGTTTGCCCACCACAGCTGTCCTCCTTTGCACCCTTCCTTCACAGACAAAGCTGGCATTCCAGTCCTATTGTCAATGCCGCTACGTCTATTCTGGCCTTTGTGCATAAGGTGGATCACACCAGCCGGGCATGCCGCACAGGATGGCAAACCTTAGTAGCCCTAGAGTCAGGCTATCCCAGCTGGGCCCCAGTTCTGGAGACGAGAGGTCCGAAATCAAGGGGTCAGCAGGGTTGCTTGCTTCTGGGGGCCGTGAGGGAGAATCTGTCCCGTGCCTCTCTGAGACCTCGTTGTCACTGGCTGTCTTAGGTGTTCCTTGGCTTGCAGCTGCCTTACCTTCATCCTCCACCTTTTACACGGTCTTCTCTGTGTATCTTTTCACATAGTTTTCCCTCGGCGTGAATCTCTGTCTCTTCACACTGTGGTGTTTCCACAAGGATGCCAGTCATATTGGATAAGGGGCCTACCCTGATCCAGTATGACCTCATCTTAACCAATGTCATCTTCAACAACCCTATTTTCAAATAAGACATTCTTGGAGGTCCTGAAGATTAGGACTGCAAGATATTAATATTCTGGAGTTGGAGGGGGTGGAACAATTAAACCCCTAACAGGTCTTCTATGCCTTGTTGCACCTGTTAACAGCTATTGTGACTAACCAACCCTTTTGATAAAAGCAAGCCCTGAGAAGCAAGGTGAAATCACAAAATCACTGAGGCTGTGACAGGAGAGGAAGCCAAGAACATTGGAATCTCCTGGGCCAGGTTTCCCTGTGGCCACTGTGGGATTGCTGGAGAGGAAATGGTCAGAAAAAGAAGGCATCAGGTTGGGCGTGGTGGCTCATGCCTGTAATCCCACCGCTGAGGTCAGGAGTTCGAGATCAGACTGGCCACCATGGCAAAACCCCATCTCTACTGAAAATACAAAAAAAATAGGTGGGTGTGGTGGTGCACGCCTGTAGTCTCAACTACTAGGGAGGCTGAGGTATGAGAATTGCTTGGACTCGGGAGGCGGAGGTTGCAGTGAGCCGAGATCGTGTCACTGTACTCCAGCCCGGGCAACAGAGTGAGACTCTGTCTCAAAAAAATAAAAGAAGGCATTAGTATTGGAAGTAACAGGAGGCACCTGGGTAAATGGGGCTGGAGAAGGGAGAAGGTAGACAGGGCGTTTCTAGATGCTCCTGAAGCACAGACTTGATTTTCCACCTGCCACTGTGCCCAAGTTTTCCCCCATTCCAGTCCCAGGCTACAGGCAAGCTCAGGTCTGGCCCTGGAATCCTGGCTTTCACTGGTGCTGACATTCCCGGAGAGTCAGTGGCAGTGCAGGGTCTCGACTGGCCACCATTTCCACTCTGAACTCACAATCAACTCCTCTCATGCTTCCAGGTAAGAGAAAAACTGAGGCCAAGGTGAATGTCAAAGGCAGGGATATCCGACCTCCCTAAACCCTCCCCTACAGGATATTGAGGATAAAGCAGCTTTGCTGCTAGGAGTTGCCTGACCTTCTCCCCACTTCCCAGAACGCAGACTGCATGTTCCTAGCATGCGAAAGGGCATCCAGCTGTCTCAAAATGGTATGGGTGCCTATCGCTGACACTGCATAGTTATTGTTTTCTCCTGAGTTGTACTTCATTCTAGTCTTCAATCTTCTTAAATTTCTGCACAGCGAACATTAGCCACTTGAATAATTAGAAAAATACAGAAATTACTTTTAACTAGTCATTTCTTTCATCTCATTGCTGTGAGATTGATTTTCCCCAGGTAAAGCTGGAATCATGTCTCTTCCTTGCTCCTAAAACATCCAGAGAGGTATAAACCCAGGTTTAGCTTAACATAGAGATGACAGATACAAACATACATACATAATACATAGCTAGATAGAGGTAAACATAAGAAATGTATATGTACATGCATTAGCACATATACATATATTTCCTTTCTCTCTCTGCTGAGAGGGTCCAGAAGCAATCATTTAGCACCTAGATTTGTTTCTTATACTATTGTCCAACAGAAGGAACCAGAGCTTATTAGAGAAACAGCTGATTCTAGGACTGGGGCAGGAAATACGCAAGATGAGCCTGGAGCACCTTGTAGTGTCAGAAAGTAAGGAAGTGCTAAAACACTGACACACAAGCACACACACCACAGAATGGTGGGGCCACGACAGAGGGACACAGAAACCAACTGAAAGAGCTCTTAATTGCCAAAGTGGGGGAAACATTTGAGCAATAACTGAAGTAAAGTGGTATTAGACTATAACCAAAGTATTAAAAAAATTCCTGAGTTCGTATTGACATAATTAGGTGATTGGATAAATAAATACACAGGAGAAAAGAAATCTGCCGGGCGCGGTGGCTCAAGCCTGTAATCCCAGCACTTTGGGAGGCTGAGGTGGGTGGATCACGAGGTCAGGAGATCGAGACCATCCTGGCTAACATGGTGAAACCCCGTCTCTACTAAAAATACAAAAAACTAGCCGGGCGTGGTGGCGGGCGCCTGTAGTCCCAGCTACTCGGAGGCTGAGGCGGGAGAATGGCATGAACCCGGGAGGTGGAGCTTGCAGTGAGCTGAGATCGGGCCACTGCACTCCAGCCTGGGTGACAGTGAGACTCCGTCTCAAAAAAAAAAAAAAAAAAAAAAAAAAAAGAAATCTGTGCAGAAGAATTTCAAAAAATGTATGTAAATACTCTGCCCTCCAGGAAGTGGAGTATAACTCCCCACTTCTTAAGCGATGGCTGCACACAGTGACCAACTGAGGGATGGTCTACAAAACACCTGATCAATAACCCTCAAAACTGTCAAGTTCACCAAAACCCAGGAGAGTCTGAGAAACTGTCACAGCTCAGAGAAGGCTGAGGAGGCTTGATGACTGAATGTGGTCTTCTGGATGGAATCCTGGACCAGAAAAGGGACATTAGGTAAAACTAAGGAAATCTGATAAAGTGTGGACTTTAATCAATAGTAATGTACCAATATTGATTCATAATTGCTACAAATGTGCCATGTTAATGTAAGATGTAACAATGAGGGAAATTGAGTGTGGTCGTATTAGTTGGTTCTCACGCTGCTAATAAAGACATACCCAAGACTGGGTAATTTATAAAGAAAATGAGGTTTAATGGACTCACAGTTCCAGGTGGCTGGGAGGCCTCACAATCATGGTGGAAGGCAAAGGAAGAGCAAAGTCACATCTTACATGGCAGCAGGCAAGAAAAAATGAGAGCCAAGTGGAAGAGGAAACCCCTTATAAAACCATGAGAGACTTATTCACTACCAGGAGGACAGTATGGGGGAACTACTCCCATGATTCAATTATCTTCCACTGGGTCCCTCCCACAACACATGGGAATTATGGGAGCTACAGTTCAAGATGAGATTTGGGTGGGGACACAGCGAGACCATATCAGTAGGTATATGGGAGCTCTCTGTACTATCTTTGCAATGGTTCTGTAAATCTATTCTAAAATTGAGATGTTATTTTAAAAGTTACATATGTATTTAATATAAATATGCATCTATATGGATATATGGTGATAAAAACAATTGCAATATCAACCCTCTCTCGTGTGTCAAATTTTCTCCTTTTTTGAGTAGATTCGTGGCTCTCTATTCTGTTCCACTGGTCAGTTTTTCTAACTCTGTACCATTATCATGCTGTCTTAATTCTAATACCTTTTCTTTTTTCTTTTCTTTTCTTTCTTTTTTTTTTTTTTTTTTTGATAGAATCTCACTCTGTCCCCCAGGCTGGAGTGCAGTGCAGCAATCTCAGCTCACTGAAACCTCTGCCTCCCAGGCTCAAGTGATTCTCCTGCCTCAGCCTCCCGAGTAGCTGGGACTACAGATGCGTGCCACCGTGCCTGGCTAATATTTATATTTTTAGTAGAGATGGAGTTTTGCCGTGTTGGCCAGGCTGGTCTGGAACTCCTGACCTCAGGTGATCCACCCACTTTGGCCTCCCAAAGTGCTGGGATTACAGGTGTGAGCTGCCGCGCAAAGCCCATTCATTTGTTACACCTCAATTTTAATTTTGAACTTCTCTCACTTTGTATTCTTCAAGAGTTTTTGACTATTCTTAGACCTCTTCATTTACAATTAAATTTAGAATTAGCATATTACATTTCAGGTGAAAATAAATGAAAATTACAGAGGAAAAATAACTTCAGAAGCCCCTCATTGCCCACAAATTCACATGTAAACTCAACAGCCTGGCATCAATGCCTTCTACAGCCTAACCTCAATCTACTTTTTCAATCTTTTCTCCTGTGCTCCCCAATAACCCGTGTCCCATGCTCCAGGAAAATTGGAATATTTAATATTTCCAAAAAGACCTCACCTTCTCTAGTCCTCA